GGCTTCACTACCCCCAGCCCACTCAATTTCACGCAACTATCCATCATGAGTTAGCGGATTTCCCACCACGAACGACTGCTTTTTTTGTTTCTTTCCGCTACATACCAAACCATACCCGACCTCACCTCTGTTTCCCCTCACCCCCACAGCATTTTTTTTTCGCCCCATCAAAGCTTAATACTCCTGTCATCTTGTGTACTGTCTAGACTTCTATCATCATGGAAGATATTAACAAGCGCAGCAGGCCTGCCGCAACCGAGGAGGACGGATCGGACCAGATCGGCTTAGACTCACCACGCTCAGGGGTCGCAACCCCGCAGCCTGATCTCCATGACAAGCGGCTGCCGGGCATTATGAGCTATTTCAACCAGGTTCGTTCCCAAAGCTCCTTTTCGCGCTTCCTGCCCTTTAAGGCGAACGAGCAAACCACAGCTGCCTCCGAAGCCGTTGCGCCTCAGACCGAGGAACCTCCTCGGGCTAGCCTCACCCCTCGGCTCCCATTGAATGCCGTTGAACAGGAAACACACAGTGTCTCGGGAGACGAGGGATCACTTCTCCTGGCTTACGAGGCTTTGGGACCCGTGGCAGATGTCACACCGCCAGCAGATGACCAAATGCACCCATACCCAACCCCTCCCACGTCGCAACGGTCATCGGTGCGCAACTTCAAGGGCGACGCGGGCAGTGAGAAGCCAAGAGATGCTACTCCCCCTCCAAACTCACGACCAGCCAGCCTTCATCAAATGAATGTGCCGGACGGTGGGAGGGGAATCGGTGTTGCGCGTAGGTCGTCGCTGCTGGCGCCCTTGACGGCCACAGTTGATGATTCGAGCGTACCCGCACCTCATCTGTCAAATCCTGCTAGCCCTGCCCCCAATGTCCCAAATTCCACGAGTTCGTTGCGCGGTAGTTCTGGAGAACCAGAAGACCTTTCCTATCCGTCTCCGTCTGTTGCGCATCTTACGAAGCTAACAGATGTGACTGCTACAAAGAGCGGTGCTTCTACCCCGACACGTGCGCTTTCGACCACCCAACCGTCGCAAAGCGAGGAAAAGCAGCCCGAGGAGACGAGCAGGACGAACAGCGAAGGAAGTACTGAAAGGGATAACCGCACAGCATCCCAAACACCAACACCCTCCACATCTTCTGGAGGAGCGCCAGCATCGAGGGGAAAGCTTACAATCAAGGTCGGAGAGGCACGGGGTTTGAGGAGGTGCCGAGATCCATATGTGGTCGTGGTCTTTCAGCGAAGCGAGCTGATTTCGCCAGGCCCTCGCCGTGCGGCTGAAAATGACGATGACGCCGCAATCGCAGCCGTCCAGACAGGCGGAATCCCTATTCAGCGTCAAAGCAGTGACTCCGGCCGACCGATGGCAATTCCCATGCGAAGTCGGCAGAGTAGCAACACAAGTCTTACTGACTTCAACACGTTTCGGAGGCGCAACTCGTCCCAATCTCGGCGGTCTTTCACTAATCCCACCTGGGATGCTGAGGCCGTTTTGTAAGTGACTCGATACGTGGGGTTATGCTTGGAATACTGACCAGTCTCTAGTGATGTGGTAGACTCGGACATGCTTGTCGACATCTCCGTATATGGCCAAGGGCCATCTGGTGAGGAGTTTCTTGGACACGTCGACTTCCAGGCCAACAAAGCCGAGCCAATTCGAGGTTGGTTTCCCCTGCAAGGCCATGCCGACACTATGGCCGAGAATGCGCCGACGGGCGAACTTTACGTCGAAGCGCACTACCAGAGAGCCGAACAGAAGCATTTTGGTCCCGAGGACTTCCAGATTCTCCGACTTATCGGAAAAGGCACATTCGGTCAGGTGTATCAGGTTCGGAAGAAGGACACCGGTCGGATCTATGCTATGAAGGTCCTGTCGAAGAAGGTGATTGTCCAGAAGAAAGAGGTGGCACATACAGTGGGCGAGCGCAACATCTTGGTCCGTACGGCCATGTCCGACTCGCCTTTTATTGTGGGGCTGAAGTTTTCCTTCCAAACACCATCGGATCTTTATCTTGTGACGGATTACATGTCAGGTGGAGAGCTATTTTGGCACTTGCAGAAGGATGGCAAGTTCGAGGAGAAGCGCGCAAAGTTCTACATTGCGGAGCTCATCCTTGCGATCCAACACCTACACGAAAATGACATTGTGTACCGCGATCTCAAGCCGGAGAACATCCTTCTGGACGCCAATGGCCACATCGCTCTCTGCGATTTCGGTCTTTCCAAGGCCAATCTGACGAAGAACGACACCACAAACACTTTCTGTGGTACAACCGAGTACCTAGCACCCGAAGTCCTTCTCGATGAGGCTGGTTACACGAAGATGGTCGACTTTTGGTCTCTGGGCGTTCTCGTTTTCGAGATGTGCTGCGGCTGGAGTCCATTTTATGCTGAAGACACGCAACAGATGTACAAGAACATCGCCTTTGGCAAGGTTAGATTCCCGCGCGACACACTTTCTTTGGAAGGCCGAAATTTCGTAAAGGGACTTCTAAACCGAAACCCCAAGCACCGCCTGGGCGCTACCGACGATGCCGAGGAGTTGAAGAGGCATGCCTTTTTCGCCGATATCGACTGGGATGCGCTCTCCAAGAAGCTCATTACACCGCCTTTCAAGCCGCAGCTCAAGAGTGACACCGATGTGTCATATTTTGACCCCGAATTCACGAATGCGCTCAACGCCAATGGATCACTCAATGAGCGTGCAGCTGCGCTAGCCAGAGGCTATGCCACGTCCACTCCGCTCTCACCTTCGGTACAAGCCAATTTCCAAGGCTTTACGTTTGTTGACGAAAGCGCGCTTGAGGAGAACATGCACGATCGTCACTATAACAGATACGAGGATGATGAAATGGACGACGTCGCGGATCGCCGGAGGACAGATGATTGGGAAGACGTTCATGGGGCCGACCAACGAGCTGCGAATCGAATGAGCGGTGTCGTTAAGTCTAACACGACTGAAGACCAGATGTTTGGCGGAACCAACTTCGACCCTTGAATGGCCTACGCCGCACAGCCTTTCTTTTGTTCGGTAGCGAGTTATTTCCTCTGTCTGTTGGCTTTGATGTAGCTCTCCCTTTCACCCGGCTTCAGATATGGTAGCGGTATAAGAAAGAAGAAAGATGGTCATTCTTTTTTTTTGTTCGTGCTGATGATGACTTCAACGAGCATCAACCATGGCAAACATGCATATCTCAAACAAAAGATGGTTCAAATACAAGTTGGTATATTATTCGGGTGTCTGGCTTGCAACTGAACAGCACACTTTCTAGGCGGGGCGTTAACGGTGGTTGATTGGTTGATTGATTGACTGATAGGGCGTTTTTGAGCCTGCTTGTTGAATGAAGCAGGAGTTTGCATCGCACGAGAAAGCATGATTAAACAAGAAAGAAACAAGAGAAGGGAAGGGAAGTCTTGGAAGGCGATTGTATTGTGCGCGTCGGTTGCTTCTTTGGTGAAGCGTGGTTTTTGCGCTTACTGTCTGTCCTCGCTTCCTTGGTGTTGCTGTTGTCATAAAAGCTTCTGTTTCGGGCGGATGAGAAGAGAGATGCGTATTGTTTGTACCCTGTCAGGATGATGAGATCGATGAGCAGACATCAGCATACATATACGGGCAACTATGTGATCAATAAGTGAGTGAAGTGAATGAGAGAGGATTTCATCAACATAGCGCTACCTGAATGACAGAGTACCGAGTACACCTGGCTTGTCGACGCACATCAGATGAGAAAGATGCTGCTGGGCTTGTCTCTCTCGCTCAAACCGACAGGAGATCGGGAGAGAGGTTGGATTATTACAGGAACATTATTCGAGCAAAGAAGTTTCTTTTAGTGTCATTTGCTTGTGTGAACTGTAGCGTCTACTGGAAAGCAACTGAACAACTAATGCTTGTTCGTGAAATGAACTAAAGTAGAACACCTCATAATACTTGAAGAGCATTGATACTGGGTTTGTACTTCGGGATTGACTAGTATTATGTCGAGCACTGAACGTCGAGGTGGCATAAAATAAACCTCCTTTCGAGTTGGTCCGTTTAACGCAAGAGTTTCCAAATTCTTCAAGGCTGTATTATCTTCCAAGCTTCATGCAATTATCTTTTCCGTACTACGGATAAGCAGGAACGAAAAGAGTTGCGATTGTCACAGAACGGAGTTTTGAGGGCTGACCCACCAAAAGAATTGACGAAAGTCAGGAAGCTAGTCTATATCAAATGGAAGTGTTGAAGGTTCTCATGTGTAAGGACAGATGGGATTGGACGCCCCAAAGACCAGCTTGAAGCCCTGCGTGGGATTTGGTAGGTGCTGTAATGTGCCATCAAGGTGGTGATATTTGGGGATACGGGTCATGATATTTATCTTTTTTTTTTTTAAAAAAAAAAAAAAAAAAAAAAAAAAAAAAAACCGTTACACCCTTAGGTACTATGAATAGTGTGAATGGGCAGACGTTAGAGAGGCGTTCGGCAGAGGGGATATCTAGTTATGTTGAGAATGCAGACAGTATCATGACACCGGGTATGCAAGTACATGCTAGACACTGGCGCTGGCAAACCTTCAGAGAAAGAGGATGTATGGAGTTTACTGCCATTTACGTTGGCCGATCGAATGACCTCTAAGAGTTAGCCCGAGTTGCTCGCGTCCTGGTTGTTTATTGCATTGGTCTGAGGTTGACTCATAGGATGTTAGAAAACATGTACTGTACTCGTCAGTCCTACAGCTCATGACTGCTTATACTGTAGATTGGAAAATTATACACGTAATTTTACTTCTCTACAAACACACGGAGCTGGCTTCATTCAACCAGTAATGGGCAAGAGATTCCTCTCCAGTCATGGAAGCGCCATGTGAAACATGCGCACACCACCATCAAACCATCATCAAGCCCATGTCGTGTCGGTAGTTGGCATTAAATGGAGAGCTGAGGAAGGAGAGGCTGGAAACGATGGGATGATCCGCGCATGGAATATATCAAGACACTGGCTGGCTGGGAGGTATCGGTCGATCGCAACATCTGTTTCCATCTTTTTCGTAGACTTTTTTTCCGTTCTCTCCTTTCCTTCTCAAAATCTCGGATTTGGGTCTATTTCGGGAAGACTGGGTTCAAACGATGTCTGGATTAGATGATCGGGAGCGAAGTGACTGGATGAGTACCGAACGAGATGAGACGAGTCGCTTAGTGGTGGGCACCCTCCTCCTCCTCCTCCTCAACGAGCCAGTCCTCGACAACGGCGGCGGGGGCAGCGGCATCGGCACCCTCCTGGCCTTCGACCTCGACGGCCATGTTCTCGTACTCCTTCAGGCTGGAGGCGAGGTCGGCTTCCTCGGGGGACTTGGGGGGCTTGGGGAGGTTGAAGGTGGCAACCTGGCCAACAGCATCGGACTCCTTGATGGGGGTGGGCTTGTACGCCTTGAGCTCCTTGAGGTAGAGCTCCTGGACGAAGTCGGCTAGATAGAAGAACACGGGCAAATGATGTCAGAACCAGTATCCGCAATAAGGGACGGGCGGGTAAATGGATAGATGGGACACGTCGGCTGAATTATATTGGGGCATTGGGAGGTTGGATGAGCTGTCGGGCGACGTGCGGCGAGGCAGGCGGGAGGAAATCGATGACAGATGGAAGAGAACAGGATCGCGGGTCGTATTTTAAAACAGTGACTGCTTGTATAATCGAATTGCCAACATTGATCGACATACATCGACCAAGGGATCGAGGTAGAGGGTGTTGTTGTCGTCGTTTCACATAAGCTAGTCGGATGTCGTAACCGAGCTATCCCGGAAGGTGTTCGTAAAGTCGCCATCGAGGAGTCGGAACCGTATCATACGCTAGTCGTCGTCCATGCCCGGAGCTATCCAACCTATCCGTCGATCCGAGGGTGTAAAGTGGTTTGGAGACAAGAGAGAAAGGGACGTACCTCTCCGCGAAACGGTGGGCGCGATGAAGGTCCTCATCTGGGGGCGGGCAAGGCGGGCAACGGCCGCGACGGCCTGGCGGGCGCTCTGTGCGTTGATTAGCTCATTGTCCGATTCCGATTGCTGTCGCTGTCGGCCAGCCTTGGTGTTTCGATTCCGAGCTGCGACCCGGCATCGATTGCGGCAGTCGCCCAGTAAAGAAGACGTACCGAAGTCCGGGAAAGCATTTTGAATGTGCTGGGCGAGATGCGTGACGCTGCGAGGAGAGGTAGCGAACTGAAGGTCACGGTGGAGGTCGTTGCTTGCGAGACTTTTCAAAATATCCCGGTTGGACATCCATTGGAGGTTCTCGGGTCCGGCGTGCACGGACGTTCTTTCACCCCTCCCACTTGGGCCATGGCAGGTGTACCAAACGCCGATGCTGTCACGTGATATCAGTCATTGACCACAGGCAATTACCACGACTGAAAAGCGTGGAATCTACGAAAACGTTAAATGGAGGAAGTGGTCATATGAGATTCTCACAGCATCGATATAATGAACACTGGTGCTCCGATTTCCAACATCAAATGCCCATGGTAGGACCTCATGGTTTTGCGGTTGATGAGGAGAAGCCAGGGTGGTGAGTGGGGACATCCCCAGTTTCCACTCTTTAGTCTGACATGAGGTTGGTTCAAAGTCGGCTTCCACTGTGTTCTTGTCATGACTGATCTAGCTCAACCCAAGCTTGTGTTTCATTACTTTACAATTACACAACGTTTCCCTGGTTGTTGATATGTTTTCAATGTACAGCTTTAACCACGTCTAGCCAGCGCCAACCAAGACCGTCACTACTATTCAGTAATGGATCAACATCAGATCACCGTATCATCACATCTCTTGTTAAACACAAGCCTCCTGTCTATAATTGGTATCTCTCAAACCATCGTATGCCCTCAAGCCAACACGGGAAACTACCGCTGACTATCTTCAACTGTTCATTTCCAAACCAGCATAGCCATGCTTGCCGCTTTCACACGACTTCTTCCCTTCCCTATACCCGGTTCCTTGGCCTGTAAGGTTGCCGACCAACTGGATATCGCTGTTGATGAGTGAAGTTGTCACTTTTCCGGAAATGAGCACCACCCTGACGGCCGCGGCGGACGACTGCCCATGACTTGATAATGGCGTAGATACCAAAACAGACGGCTGCAACAATGCAATAAGCAATGACGGCCGAGTTGCTGGCATCGGTGAGTTTGAGGCCAAGACCACCGTTGACGACAGCAAGAATCAGGAGAATACGACCCCACCAGATGTGAGCATAACTGACCGCACCGCGTTCGCGGTACTTCACGAAGTATTTGTGGTGCATGATTCCGAGTACTGGCTGGACAAGAAGGAGGAATACAATGGCTGTCCCGAGCTTGGTGTGTGTGTTGTTGAAGAGCTTTTTGCGAATTGTCAGCAGCTGTTATTCACCCTTGTGTGCGGTTCAAGAACAAGCAAGAGCAAGCGCTTTACATACCATATTCCTTTCTTGCGCAACATGAATACCGAGGCCGAAGCCAATCCACATCATGAGGAAGGCAACGGTCTGCCAAACGGCGTGGGCAATCCAGCTTCCGGCCAGTGGCATGAGCATCGAACCCAAGGGATAAAGAGCCGCAAAGGTGGCCGTCATGATGCCAGAGTGTGCAACCAAAGCCGCATCCCTGCGCCTACCGCCAACAACAGGCGCGAATGGATTGCCAGGTCCTACAACATCTCCAGGATCGTCGCTGCCGCCTCCGCCGTTGCTGCCACCTCCGCCTCCGGTTTCCGGGTCTTCGATGTCTGCCTCGAGGAAGGGGTTACTGTCGGAAGAAACAGTCGCCTTGGTGAGATCGAGTTGGAACTGGTCATGGTCATCATGCTGACTGATACTTGCACTCTTGCTCGTAGTCGCCAGAGATGGTCCCGACTTCCACGCAGCAATCCATTTCGACGCAGTGTCCGTCAGGCTGAGCGAGCCTCCGTTCCAAGTTTCACAGTTTGGGCAGACGACGTTTGCAACCATGACGCCATTTGTCACTCCGCTGCCCGCAAGCAGACCCAAGGCTGCCGCCGAAGAACTGGTGTCCTCCTCTGGCATCGAATGCCCGGTGCCAAGGCGGGGTGATAATGTCAGGTTACCCGACCCATCTTGGTACATCACGAACATGTTGGACCCCTTCATTTGATCGCCCGTGCCGAGAGCTACCCATGAGTATGTCGACGGCGCTTGGATTTGAAAATATATGTTGCCGGATCCCGAGTCGGCGGATGATTGAGGGATGCCAAAACGAAAACAGACATTGTCGGCACCGCTGGCGCAGTACTTTGGTGTGGTAGCGTGGACCACAATGCTGGCTGCAGAAGTTTGTTCGTCCATGAGTATCAGACTGTTTGTGCGTGAGAATATGTCATGATGCTGAGATTGGACCTACCAATTAGCCCTGAGGCTAACAGCGACATCTTAGGGGCCTTCATGATTCAGGTCAATTGTCGCTGAGTATAAGTTATCACGTCCAAGTTGATAGTATATAGAGACCGAGTCTACAAATGATTCAACAATGTTGTAGGAATGAATATATGAAGTAGCGTCCCTGGGCAACAGAAAGAGTTGGGTTGGCTCGATGAAATGAATGTTTGGATGAAGATCAACTCGAACAAAAGCTGGCACTTCGTTGAAGTCTTGAGACAATGGCAGGCGCGAGGGGAGGGGCAGATACACATCCATATACCTACTTCAGCTGTATGTGAATCTGGTCTTAAACATGGCACGGCCACACAAAGATACCTCTACGCATGTAGCTTGTCAGCCAGCAGCAGATGCCGACCCAAGTTTCTTTCATCCCTTGGCCCACATCAAATCCAATGTACATACCTTGGCCACCACTACATATTTTGGGTGGAGGTTTGTCTGCAGAAGACTTTGTGGAATGCAGGGCGTTGCACATGCTGATGACTGACGGCTGACTTGCGAGCTCGCGAACCGACGAACGCCAGCTGCATAAACTTCTCAAGCCATCCAAGCCATGGCTGGAGCGCGAATGCATCGGTTTATCGCACTTGGCGGAGTCCGTCCTCGAGGAAATCTTGGGACCTTGGGTCCTGTAATAGGATTGTGATTCCACGGTTTCTCTTACTCCTTGTACGTCTCTGCATGCCTTACCTTGGCATACTTGGTATATGTTGAAATTTGAGCAGCAGGCAATACCAGAAAGGGTCTGATTTCCTCGTGTACCCGAGTCACAAACGCTGAAGACTGCTTGCTACACAAAAACCATTGTGTTTCAAAACTCGAGGTTGTACGGTACGTTGGTTCTCCCAGATGTCACCTCAAAAGAGAAAACATTAGACCTGCCTGACCCATCCAATGGTCCTGGCGTCTCTATTCAGGTACTTGGTTACTCACAATCACGGCACAGGCACAGCCGCACCATCGGAAAGAAATCCGTATTATACCGGGCCGCACCTACAGCTGACGTGGTTGCATACAACACTATTAAGGACTGTCTCTAGCTGTAGATAGAAAGCGTCTGCTTGATGATTCCTGATTTGGATGCTATGTACGTGTAATTCATATTACGGTATACCTTTTTATATTAAAAGTTTTCCGAATTTGTATCTGCTCGCTTCTTTCTGTGTTGAGCATTCGGCTTGCTGCTCCAAAAAGATGAGAGAGAAAAAACAAAGAAGAGGTAGAAAAGTAAAGGAAACGAACAAAGGCATCGAGGGGAAGGAACTCTCCACAAAGCCCCAGGAATAAAAGGTAAAGAAACCAAAAATATATGGGTTGACAACTTGAAACTACATTATTCCTAGCCGACTTGATCTGCATCCTTAACTTCACCCAAGTCCCACCATGAACACCAATGCCCGTCAGCTCGGCTATGCAGGCTCGAACGGCAGGGCACACTAGAGGTAGCTCTACAGGGCTGAAATGCATATGTAACAACTATAAACAACTCTAGCGTGGTGTAAAGTACCACCTTCTTAGGTTCCAGGACAGGCAGACAGACATCTGAATGACGGTTGATTCAACAAAATACCTACGCTACATACATATGCAGAAGAGTCAAGGTTAGGTAAGTATTGCTACACTAGTGCAGTGACGGTGACATCCCTGTCGATCATTCATTCATGTCCAATTGCCAACTACGTGTAGTGAGGTAGAAATCCTTGATATCTTCACATATGCCCCCCACATACATACGTTCTTCGCACTTTCAATGGTTGGCATTAGGAACCGGATCGGACTTTCGAAGGGGAAGCCCCGAGAGCAGAACAGGAGCTGCTAAGATAACCAAGCATTAGAAAACCCGATAAGCCGCGCGGCCTTTTCGGTTTCGGGCTCGTGGCCGATTTGTCCCTGAGGCTTCAAGGCTTGTCGAGGCGTCTCGAGGTGTGTCGGTTGGACAAGAAGCTAGGTATCGGTCAAGAGCTGTGGTGCTGATGTGCATGAGTGCAGATGATGGTGTTGGTGGTGGCTGAGTAACATGCGTGGTTGATCTGTTGCATTTGGTGAATCGTGAAGGAGGTTTGACGATGGATGAGTGACAGGCATATTGAGAGGACGCGCGTCCATTGAAACGATAATTTTGGTTTTCAAAAACATTTGCCATTGGAATATGTTCCTGTCTTTGCCGATCATTCTTTTGTTTAATAGCATAAAGTGCGCGAGTCAATTGCCTGAGCTATCTAATTTGTCTTCGTCCATAACTGAATGTAATATCCAACCGCCGAACACGAAAGAAACGAGAAATGAAAGAAACGAGCTGAGAACCGACTGATTTTAGAGTACTGTATTGCTGTGATCCGTTACCCTTATCATTATCCACGCTGCGCTGGTGCCTTTGCCATAAATCATGGCGCACCAGCTGAATAGCACTTTTCCTGTATTGTCCTTAACTCCCCCAAACCCAGTCAAACTAACAGAATGAAAATGATCTTCAGTGTCCTCCTCTTGGCTCACTCTCACCGCCAAGTTTAGAGCATGTTGGTCCCGACACGCATTCCAAAGCCATCACCATCCAAGAGGCTGTTCGATGCAACAAAGCTGAATCCTCCAAAGAGATCATCCTTGGCAGCGGCGGCCGCATATCGCTCCTCCAAGCGACTGACAACTGGACTGAGGCTCAACTCTGTGAACTCGGGCGCAAAGTTCTCCGCAAGCTCTGGATCCGTAATCATGGGCTGGATAGGAGGCTCGAGTTCACGAGCCGCAAGCTTCTTCCAGTCGATCTTGCGGAAGAACCGGTGCTTCTTGATGGTGTCCAAGTCCTTGGGCATGTTTGAGCCTAAACGCTTGGCGGGATCCTTGCGCAGCAACCGCGTCAGCAGGTCCTTGGCCTCCGCAGTCAGGAAGTAGGGCATGATGAGCTTCTGCTTTACAATATTCTCCTGGATCTTGGCATTGTTCCCTCCACGGAACGGAGGATTGCCCGTCATCAGGTCGAAGCCAAGGGCACCGAGAGACCACCAATCCACCGAGCGGCCGTATTTCTTGCCCTGGATAACCTCGGGAGCCATGTATTCCACGGTACCAAGCATCGAGTTGCACTCCTCAGACTCAATCGCGACCTTGGAAAGGCCAAAGTCGGTCAAAAGAAGGTGGCCCTCGGAGTCGAGAAGGCAGTTCTCGGGCTTGAGGTCTCGATAGACGACCCCCAGGGTGGTATGAAGATGGGACAGGGCAAGAACCATCTCCGCCATGTAAAAGGCTGCCGTCGACTCCGAGAACATCTTTTCGGTGTTCAGGTGGGTGAAGAGCTCACCGCCTTGGCCGTATTCAAGAATGAGATACAACTTTTCCTGATCCTGAAAGGCGTAGAAGAGCTTAACCACAAAAGGGTGGCGATTGACGCTTTCCAGAATCTGGAGTTCCGTCTTGGTCTGCTCAACCAGCTTCTTGTGCACGACGAGAGATGCTTTCTTGAACTGCTTCTGCGCAAAGAGACGGCCAGTGGTACGTTGCTTTACCAGTAGAACAGTACCATACGTTCCCTTGCCCAGGCATCGCAGGGACTCAAAGTCGTCCGCGGTCATCTTGTGCGAGCGGGCAACGCCACCGTCAGAGCCAATCTCCACGGCTTCGGTAGAACCAATTGTAGTGCTGAGGTTCCCATCGACGGCAAAATCGTGCTCCAAGTTGATTTCGTAGCTCTCGGTGGCCACGGATGCTGTCTCATCCCCAGAACTGGTGCCGCTGCTGTTGCTGCGCTTGTAGCCGGTTTGGCGGGCCGGACCGCCAGAAAGAACACGGCGACCAAGCTTCGACGTCATGGAACTAGCACGTGAAGAGGCAGCAGTGTCGAGGCTGAGGGCCTGAATATCCTGGTGCATCCGTAGCATGCTGATTCCGCTCATGGCAGGCGAGACAACGGGCCTCAAAGACGGGCTGCAATTGGCACTGACTACATCGTCCACCATGAGCGTACTTCTGCTGCTCTTGGTTGCCAATCCCTTGCGAGGGTCGGGCGAGAGACAGCAGTCGGAATCCTCATCGCCGGATGCAGCCGGGGTGCTGTGGAAGCCACGTACCGTCTTGAGTGCGGGAGTCGCTGGAGATCTGAACATCTTGGTCGTAGTCGTTGATGGGCCAGCAGTAGGATGGTGTCGTGTCGGTATGATGGACTATAATCGGTAGACTAGATAGCTCTCGTTATAGCTTGACAGATACGATCCCTCAAAGCCTCTGTCGGCCTTCGTTTTCAAGGCTCGCCTCTGCGTCGCTGAGCGTCGGCGCGGTGTTCGGTGGTCAAACTGGGTCCTTGATGGCTTGGAATCGCACGCATCTGGTACTTGAAGAAGGAAGTGGAATTGTCGTCGACGGTCTTCTCGATATGCATTGAGGGTGAAAAGTCTCGATAAGATGTGATTTTTACTGTCAAGAAGAGAGAGAGAGAAAGAGGAAAAAACAGAAAAGAGAAAAAAAAAGAAGAGAGTTGTAGCTGGGGGAGCGTGCGAAGAAAGAGGTCGACTATGGCGACAATGAAATGGAGTTGTGGGAAGCAGAAGTTAAAATAAAATGGAGCCCGGACTCTGCACCTGCAGTGAATTAGAATGGGCCTGGACCGGGTTTGTTACCTTGGGTATTACCTATGTACAATTTAGTACCCCTAGGGACTGGAATGCACTAGCCGGGCAGGGGGCCGCGTCCGCCTCACCCAAATATCCCTCCATTGAGCCAACCACGATAAAGAGAAATGTATTCACATCATGCGTCACGGTCTGGGCAGGCCGGGCAGGCCGGGCAGGCGAGCACCTGAAAGGGCGGAAAGGCCAGCTGGATTGGTCTGGTGAACTTAAAGGAAAAGGAGGAATTGGCGGGCGTTCCATGTCCCAGGAGGAATTGGCGAGAGCACGTGAAAATCGGGTGAGAGACATGTGTCTCACCCGCATAAAAGGGAATGCACCATCGGCCATTTTCCAGGCTTTTTCTACACTACCTAGCTTTCAACCTGGAATGGCCCCATGTTGATCTCCATGTCCAGAAATGAACCTCCAATACCGCACGGCAGGTGTCATGTGTGTATAGGTAGTGTAGTGTACCAAGGCCGCTGGATGCCGACCCTGATCTTCAGTTTTGACAAGTCTGGGGAATCCGAACAGCCGGGGCTTGATTGGCGGTCATTAAACCGCATTGGTCGACGGGCTGGGAAGGGGGAACTGGTCGCACCATTTGTGATCGCACTTCCATGTCACCTCGGACCAAACCTACCGTGTGCGAAGTGGGTTTAACGAATTTTGATACCAACAAGGAATCTATCACATATCACATAAAACGTTGAAATTTTACGTACCTCTTGAATGATCGGTGAAAGCTTCAGGGCGATTCGTTGGTTCACTCTAAGACGAGGTGCCCGTGGTGCTAGGACTGAGTGAGATGAGCGCATTCAGGTGGGACAGCTTGTTGAGGGTTAGGGTCGAAGATGCGCCGGAAATTTTAGTGGAGCTCCCGCAACAGCAACGGCGCCAACATTGTAGACTTCCCTGTGATTGCATCACCTGCTATTTCACGACAGCAACCAAAACACCGAGCCCGCACATCAAACGGTCCTTTAGCAACCACAAGCCGGATTCGAATCACCTGACTTTACTTGCGTTCAAGTGTCCAGAAGATTTAGCAAGCGACCAAACACCGAAAGTTTAGCACTATGCATCCGGCGCGTAGAGCCTACGTGGAGGAGGCCGAGCCTGAGGTAAGACCATGCTCTATTTGCGCCCCTCGCAACATTGAAGGCACCTGCTCAACATTGCAAACAGAGCCCGGACTGACCCCCCCTGAAGCAGGATCGCGGAGGTATGGATCTAGACTCCGTCCGTAAGTCCTCAAAACACTTCTTGTATGGCTTCCAACCCATGACTGATTTGCGTGTTAGCCCTCGATCGCGACTACGACATCCCCGGTGCTGGGGCTGGTATTGCCCCAGAGAAGGCCTCCGTTCTTCTTTCACAGTTCGAACGAAAACGATTAGCGGCCTCGATTGCTGTTCCTACCGACGATGGCCGGGTACGAGCCAAATTGCGAGAGATGGGCGAGCCTGTCACCCTCTTCGGCGAGGGTCCGGCAGACAGACGCGACAGATTACGAGAACTCATGACACAACAAGCCGAGAAGGGAGGCCAGGAAAGTGCCGATGTGGAGATGCGGGACGCCGAAAACGAGGAAGATGAAGCCGGCGACCAAGAGGAGGAATTTTACACTACTGGAAGCCCGGAACTGCTCCAGGCCCGCATCGACATCGCTCACTACTCAATCCCGAGAGCCAAGAAGCGCATCGAGTTCCAGAAAAAGGAGTCCACCATCCCACTGCGGACACATGTCAAACACCGAAAAGAGATCAAGGAGAAGCTTCATGGATTTGAATTGCAAGGCAGTCAAACGGCAGGAGAGCGGCACATCAGCATGACAAGGATCTCGCCTGATGGAAACATGGTCGCGACTGGCAATTGGGGCGGACAGGTTAAACTCATCGAAATCCCAACCCTTGAGCCAAGGAAGACTTTGAGGGGCCACACCAACAAAGTCAGCGGCCTATGCTGGATGCCTGGAGCTACACTGCCTGAGCGCAATGTTTCTCCCGACACAGTCAATCTCGCTTCTGGAGGAGCGGAAGGCCAGATCCATCTCTGGTCTTTGAACCAAGACACCCCTTTGAGAACTCTTTCAGGACACTCGCAACGAGTATGTCGTGTAGAGTTCCATCCGTCGGGCAAGTATTTGGCTTCTGCCTCAGAAGACACCTCGTGGAGGATGTGGGATGTTGAAACCGGCACCGAGCTCCTTCTCCAGGAAGGTCACTCTCGCGGTGTTTACGCTGTCAGTTATAACAGTGACGGATCGCTACTCGCTAGTGCGGGTTTGGACAGTATTGGAAGAATCTGGGATCTGCGGACAGGACGGACTGCCATGATTCTAGATGGGCATCAGGACGGCCATATCAAGCCTATTTATGGTTTGGACTGGGGCTCGGACGGTTACAGGGTGCTCACGGCGTCTGCTGATGGTTGGATCAAATGCTGGGATGTTAGAAAAGTGGAAAGAATTGGAGGCATTGGTGCCCATACAAGTGCAGTGGCCGACGTGCGGTGGTTTAAGGGTTTGGATGACCCGTTGGAAGGAGTGCCTCCTGGCGAAGATGAAAAGGGAATGCAAATTCCCAAGAAATCTGGCACCTTTATGGTGTCGGCAGGCTTTGACCACAAGGTGAACATATTTTCCGCTGACGACTGGGCCTTGGTTCAGTCTCTCAGCGGCCACACAGGGCCTGTTGCGAGTGTTGACGTTAGCCGGGATGGAAAATGGATTGTAAGCGGTGGCCATGACCGGACGGTCAAACTTTGGGGAAGAAACGACTCCAGGAGCTTGTATGATTCCTGAGCAGACATCAATCTGTACGCGACAAGAATCTTGTCGTTGCCTCTTACATAGGAGCAACACACCAAGGAGGGCGTTCAGCAAGCGACAGGCCAGGGCTTGGCTTACCGCTCCACGAGAGACAGTATCGGCAGATAGATTGCATAGAAGCCGTCTCAATTTTGTAGATCAACAACCACAACTGGGTGCCCATAACAAGCTGCCTTTGATACATGCGTCTGAGTTGCCTTGTGGTTGCGTTTCACTGACCCGGTAAGGATAGGGGGGGTCACCTGACCGCGAAAGTGGGCCTGTTGAGATTCCTTCTCCCTTCTTTTCTGCAGTGACGCGGGCAGGGTTGGGCGGGACACCTGCCGCTCGCGTTGGTTGACGCTGGTAAAGTCACCCTGGCACCCTGGGAAATGGTGACGCACGGTCCATCGTGCGAAGCTTGGCTTTCTGATAAAGGGCGATAAAACAATGGCAGCAGACGCCATCACCGGGAACTTGTAGAGTTGGTCCGTTTTCGAACTTTTGACTTCTTCGTTTTCTCGCATTTCTGCATTTTCAAGTGGTTTTATCCCCAGCCGGTATTCACGCGAGAGACGTCATTCACAATACCCTCAACTCACAGCATCCGGGCAGCTCAAGTCCCCATGCGCATCAACCCGCTCAAAGCTGTCTGAAGGGCGACACGGGGAGGATTCGCTTATTTGGGAACCAGCCAGAACGTCAACCACCACATTACATCATGTCATATCGTCCTCCGCGGGAGGGCTACCAGCCACCATCGCTCGGGCTCCCCGCAAAGCCTCCGCCGCCGGTTGACAATCGTTTGTCAAAATCGCCGGTGAGAAGACGCGATGTGCCCCCTGCCGTGCCATCGCCACCTTCACACTCGACCCGGACGTCACCTCCCCGGCCACACTCGACTAAGAGCGTAGCGTCACCGGCAACAGTACGCCCACCGTCGAGCCCCCAAAAACTACCGGTTGCGCGTCCCGATCAGTGGTACTTTACGCCCGACGAAGTAGCGAGCACACCCAGCATCATAGATGGACTCTCTGTGTCGGAAGAGCGCCTACGAAGGGCCAAAGGCGTCAACTTTATTTTTCAGGCTGGCATCATGCTTGACCTCCCGCAAATCACATTGTGGGTTGCCGGCGTGTTCTTCCACCGCTTTTACATGCGAAGAAGCATGGTGGAAGAGAAGGGTGGCATTCATCACTACGTATGTCTTTTCATGTCCTCTAACCAATTTTTATGGCGCCCGTGTTGGAAGTCGTGTTCAGCAACCCGGATGTGGTCATTCAGTTTTGAGGATGCGCAACATCAACTAACCCATTTCATATATGCAGAATATCGCTGCTACAGCGCTCTTTCTCGCGAATAAGACAGAAGAAAATTGCCGTAAAACAAAAGATTTGATCATTGCGGTCGCAAAAGTCGCCCAGAAAAATACGAAGCTAATCATCGACGAACAAAGTAAGGAATATTGGCGGTGGCGCGACAGTATTCTTAACTACGAGGAAGTGATGCTGGAGCAGTTGACATTTGATCTCATGGTCGGAATTCCATACCACCCACTATACGAGTTTCTTAACATGCTAGAGCAGGACATTCCTCTGCAGCAACAAGAAAGCAGTCAACCGCAGCAAGATCTCTCCAAGCAGAAGCAGCATCTGGTTCGCAACAAGGCCTTCCGTAACGCCGCTTGGACTTATTGCAACGACTTGTGCCTCACAGTCCTGCCCTTGCTACTCAATGCGCGCGACATCGCCATCAGTGCCATCTTTTTCGCCGCTTCCATCCTCAAGGAGAAAGTAGACGATTTCGACGGCGAGGCATGGTGGAAATACCTTAAGGGGGACGAGGGCAAGGTGTGCATGGCTATGGATGTCATTACGGAGTTCTATAAGGAGAACCCATTGAGGAAACAGGATAACAGGATGTCTCCGTCTCCCACCTTCAACCTCGAGAGTACTAGGCGTAGACTTGGAACGGCATCTAGTCAGCAGGAGGGCGATGGTACTCCGATGGAGACAGACCGCAGTACACAGAGCCCTAGAAGCTCCAGTGGCCGCCATCGTGATAACGGCAACACCAATGGCACACTGGAGGAGTATGAGGAGAGGTCGCAGCCACAGCATATCAAGCAGGAAGGCGGGATATCGGCTTCGGAGGCCCAGAACGGTTCAGCGACGAAGGGCTCTTCAGAGGCAAAGTCAGCTTCCGTTATCAAGAGCGAACCGGACAGCGCTACTTCGGGACTTGATGCAAGGACGGTGCAGGCGCCGGTGTCGTCCATTTCGCACAGAGGGGATTCCGACGCGTTACTAAAAGAAGCCGCCAACAATCTGGCAATACATGAACGAAGGCCGAACGATAGCAGACTACAGTCGCCCCCCGGCGCGAAGCGTAAGAGCTCCGTGTCCGATCCGGCGGCAGAGGGTGAACCGGAGAATAAGCGGGCGCGGACGGTTACGAGCGATGAGGATGAAGGAGAAATCAACGGGAATTAGCGTTGCAGATTGGGAATCTTCTGCCCGCCTCCGCCAGATCTTGCAGTTGCTGCTCCAAATTCGGGTTTATTACTTTGGCTTATAGGGTAGTCGGCGGTTTCAGGCGTCAGCGGTGGGGGGCTACAGGAGGCGCTCTTGCAATTACATGGAATGAATTGGTTGGCGAGCATGGAAAATGCATTGGGTATTCTTTGGTCAAACTTCCCCTGGCTCGTGGGTGTAACGGGGGTCGTTTGATCAAGCAGTAGTATGGCGACAGATCAGGACGGTGTTAAGTTGTATGATATCCTGTAAATTATATACACAGTACACCTCTGCCGGCTTTAAACTTATTAGTGTGGCACCACCACTTTACATTCAGTATTCAAGGATTCAGAAGTGGTCAAACTCGCCAATCTTTGTACGCAAATTAGAGTTCTTGCCACTTGCAAATCACCGCGCTAACAAGTTTAATTCCGGCAAAGGTGAGAGAGGTAGGTTTTATCACCTCCATATCAGGCTACAAGCAGCTGGGGGCCTCGTTTGAGCCCATCGGTAAACATGAAGCTATGGATCAACAGGACTTCACACATTAACCATGGCTCAATCCCCATCGATGCCTTGTTCTATCCAGGGATTGCCATCTTCCAAACATAAACAACTGAACTCTTTCAAAGCCAACCTGGCTCGTTGACACAACTCACACCACCCTCCTCAACCCAAACTCATCTCCATACCCCTTCTCCCTCGCCTTCTCATCCAAGAAATCCACCAAGTCAACCATATTCGTGCAACTCAGCATGGCGTTGCGCTCCGGCTTGCTTAGCAGGGCATTCTTGTTCGGTCCCATGCCCGGCGCACACATCTCGCTGAGGTGGTGCTGCACAAGCTTGAAGGGCAGCGGCGCCCGTGCCAGGTGGCTCATGAACGTCTCCACGGCCTCCCACGGGCATGCGTCGTAGCCGGCGTAGAGGGCCGGGTTGGCGAGGATGGCGCGGGCGGACATTAGCCCGGAGAGTTTGGGGAGGTTAAGCAGAGGGGATTGTGGTGTTTTCTTTTTCTCAACATTATCGGTGGTGATGGACTTGCTGGTGAGGGTGGGTGTGTTGGCTGGGTCTAGCAAAGGGGAGGTGAAGGGGAGAGAGTTGAGGGTGAAGACGTCGCCTGAGAGGAGAATGGGGACTTTGTCGCCGAAGTTGGTGGTGAGGATCTCGAGCGCTTCGACGTTGATGGGTGTGCTGGACGGGGTTTGGCGGGTGCGAGGGTGAATAGTAAGCCAGTCGATGTGGCGGTCTTGCGAGGGGCCGAGAACGGTGGTGATGAAGTCCATCGTTTTTCTGTTGCATGGGGGTCTAGTAGTTAGCTGATTTCTGCCACCTATCCCCGAGACCATAAGTATGCACCGTGTGTCACTTACCTCAAGTCTTTGTGAACACGGATCTTGACGCTGACGCTCCTTCCCTTGGGGTTATCAACATCCCTCTCCTTCCCAACACCCCATCCATCTCGTCTCAGATACTCTCGAGTCTCAATGACCATGTCCCGCACCAGTTCTCGCTTTTCCATCAGCGCGGCACCAAGCGTCTCAGCGCATGCCCATGACTGAGGGCATCCACAGTTCAGATCCACGCCGCCGGCGTAAGGAGCTACGAGGGTAGACGCTCGGGCTAACTCTTTGGGATCGTTGGCACCAAATTGTACCACTGTTGGAGGTTGCGGTCCGTTTGTGGAGATAGTGAGATCACTATCTCTGGCAAATCGGTTCCTGTTGAACTCTTTGGCCAGAATCATGGGCGTCCAGCAAAGATCTGTGCCATAGTCATGTACTGTTTGACGGAAGGCAAGCTGTTCAGCTTGTTAGATTATTGTGATATTCGTGATGGGAACTCAGGAAATGGGTGTTGGTAGAGGAGGAGGAGGCCACTTGCCTTGCCATACCTCACCATAGGCGCCAAAGTGTAAAGAAATCTTTTTTCACTCTTTGCAATGTCAAAGAGCTTGAGCGGACTTTCTCAAGACGGGAACAAGTCAGTTAAATGCATTCAATTTCGTCCCTGTAGGGTATGGTCTATGTACAAAGCACAGGCAGTAATCGGCCAGGCTGATATGTATAGTCTCCTCAGCTAGAGCACAGGGAGGGAAGAGGAATTTTAAGTCGTAGCACTTGTTGCAGGAATAATAGAGAAGGGTCGGTAGGCCTTACTGAACGATATCCTGGTTAGATCTTTCCGAGGTGGCCTCCATCTTGATGACAGTCCCAAGCTCTTGATATCAAGTGGAAAAATAGAGTGAGAGTGGGCGACTTCCGTGGATGCGCCGGAGGGTCTGTTGAAGAGGTGCAGTTGCAAGTGAAGGTGTTTGGGCGATCAGCACCCGCTTTTTTTTGGTTTTTTTTTCTCCTAGTGGGGGTTTGAGGCTTTGATAGCCGCTACGGCAGTTGACTTGATTGACGTTCACAAGCCCACGATTTACGAATTCCGAAATCTAGATAACTTGGCGATCCAAGATCGCTGGATGTGACGTCTTGCGAGGCACCCAACGGTAGTGATTTTCTTTGGGCTAACAAACTTGAACACCTGATTACCGGGAAGAAATATCGAAGAGCCACACGTCGGAACGGATGGGGAAGTTCATGAAAGTGACCCCTACCCTAAGAGTTTCCCGCTATCGGTGCTTCTTCCCCCACTGATCAGACCCCACTAGCACCTTCAGTTGCCCCGGTTTCACGGTTTTAACAAGGCGCAAGGACCCCTGTCTTATATGACTCTTGCGCAGCCCCCAGCGGCCGATCATCGCTTCCTTCCAGGTTTCTTCAGCTTGTTAACTTGCGCCTCATTCTTCAGCTTTTTCCTTAGGTTGAGCAAGAGTCATCTGCTCACGCCAAATTCATCCCGATGAGCCTCAGACAAAAATCCGACAAGATGGGAAGCAGCAACCCGGTCATTGGCCTTCTCGGTGGCGGCCAATTGGGTCGTATGCTCTGTGAGGCCGCAAACCCTCTGGGCATCGACATCGCCATTCTCGACGAGAAGAACTCCCCTGCTAAGCAGGCCCATAACACCAACCGCCATGTCACTGGCTCTTTCAAGGACCCGGTCAAGATTCGTGAGCTCGCTGCTCGTTCCGACTATCTTTCTGTCGAAATCGAGCATGTCGAAACCGAGGTTCTCGAGGATATCGAAAAGAATGGCGTCGAGATCAAGCTCGCCGATGGCTCCGTTGCTATTCACAAGCCGCCTATCCATCCTTCCTGGAGAACCATCCGTCTCATTCAGGACAAGTATCTTCAGAAGGAACACTTCCGGACCAGCAAAACCAAAATTCCCATTGCTGATCAGATGGCTATTGAGTCGGGCGAGTCGGCTCTCAAGTCCCTCCAGGAAGCTGCTGACAAGTTTGGTTTTCCCTTCATGCTCAAGGCCAGGAAGGGAAGCTATGATGGAAGAGGAAACTTCAAGGTCAACAGTGAAGAGGACTTCGCCCCTGCCATCGAGGCATTGGGCAAGCTTCCTCTCTACGCGGAAAAGTGGGCTCCTTTCGTGAAGGAGCTTGCAGTCATGGTCATTCGTACTGAGGATGATGAAGGCAATCTGAGAAAATGCGTCGCCTACCCTGCCGTTGAGACCATCCATGAAGACAGCATCTGCACGAAAGTCTTCATGCCGCCCAGGGGAGTGGATGACAATGTCTGTGAGCAGGCTAGGAAGCTGGCCTGTGATGTGATTAGCACCTTGTGGGGAAGGGGCGTCTTTGCCGTTGAAATGTTCCTCCTCGAGGACGGTAAGTAGCAGCGGTTGGTCACAATTTTATTGAATACCTACCTCTAGCATGCTAACATATCGTTCAGGATCGTTGATGATCAACGAGGTCGCGCCTCGCCCTCACAACTCGGGCCACTACACCATTGAGGCCGTTCCCTACATGTCCCAATACAAGGCGCAGCTCTATTCCGTCCTTAATTTGCCTATCCCCGATGAGCTCACCCCTAGAGTCTCATCCTCTATCATGCTGAACATTCTGGGTGGTGCTGCCCCCAACTCCCACCACAAGCTCGCTCGTCTTGCCAGGACGACGTACGGAGATGATTTTGATGTCTACCTCCATCTCTACAACAAGGAGTCCAAGCCTACTCGCAAGATCGGCCATATCACTCTGACAGGATTCTCCTCAATCGAGGATCTTGAGAAGGCTGCTGAGCCTTTCATCAGCATGGTCGATCAAATCAGAGAGGAGCGTCTTGCTGCTTCTGCTGAGCAACTTCGTCCCCAGGAGGAGGCCAAGGCTAGTAACAAGACGAACTCCGGAGGAGCTAACCCTGCGGAGGGAAATAACTCGGATCAGCCCTTGGTACTGGTCACGATGGGCTCTGACTCCGACTTGCCCGTCCTCAAGGCCGGTCTTGATATCCTGAAGGAATTCAAGGTCCCGTATGCGCTGGACATCACCTCTGCCCATCGTACTCCCAAGTACATGATGAAGGTTGCTGGTGAGGCAGCGAAGAAGGGCATCAAGGTCATTATTGCTGCTGCTGGTGGAGCCGCTCATCTTCCTGGCATGATCTCCTCGGAGACTCCGCTCCCTGTCATTGGTGTCCCTGTCAAGGCAACACACCTCGACGGACTTGACAGTCTTTTGAGCATCGTGCAGATGCCCGTAAGTTTAACCCCACCCTACCAGCGATGTTACCGTCCAACTACTAACTGCCAACAGAGGGGCGTTCCCACTGCTACTGTCGGCATCAACAACTCTACCAACGCCGCCCTTCTTGCCATCAGGATCTTGGGCTCCTTCATCCCTCAGTACCAGGAGCATATGAGTAAATATCAGCTTCAAATGGAGGAGGCCGTCATCGAGAAGGGTGGCAAGTTGCGGACCGGAGGCGATGTTGCGTATCTTGAGGGCATGAAGAAAACCAAGTAAAGAAAACAGACAGTGGCCCAAGGGGCAATGGGAATGTGACGCGCAGTTTTCAATGTATCTACAATGACGATTCAACTCGCGTGGGGGCACACTTGGTATGCACGAACAAAACAAGGACCGGGCAGAGCGAGCTCTGGGGGTTACGGCGTAACACAAGTAAAAGGAAAAAAGGAATGGTTATACCCGGAAAGTTGAAGAGAAGAAAATGTCAAGAGCACACTACGTTTATGACTGTTGGAATCTCACCACGACACGTACCTGCGCAATTTTCTGACTCGTTCACCAGCCAGTTATAGTTTGAGGAGTGCTTGGCTCTCGCAACGTCGCACATAAGGCTTTAAATGTACGGAATGCGTCGGTTGTACTGTATAAGTGAATCAATCCAGGTATGTATTCCCCGGGTCTTCAGAAGCATCCACAACAGCAATCATCGCGAGTTCCCTGCCAAGACCACATGTGGGGTCCGTAGATGGACCGTGCACGCGACGGCCGTGGCAGAGTCCCGCAAACGGAAGTCCAGAGCTTCCCCGGGAGAGGTGTCTCCAACCTGCCCCAGCTTCGAACGTCACCGTCCGGACGACCATCAACCTCACGCAACAAGTTCCGAGACTGGCTTCAATTTCCATTGTTTATACTCATTCAAAATGTCTTCCCAGAAGGATATGCGTAGGGCGGACCTGAGTAAGTTCCTCATTCCAGTTTCCGCAACTGTATCTTGTCCGGTGTCAAAGTCGCGAAGCGTCAAGCTGACCCAAGTCAATGGCATAGTTATCCCCTATCAGGAACCGGCCGCGAAGACCGACGCCCCCGAATTCCAGTCGACTCTCTCGTCCACATTGCCCATGGCTGCTATCTTCATGCGCAACCGCTACATTGGATGGTAATTGGACCTTTATCATTTTACGACCTGTTGGATGCGCGCGCGCAAAACACTCTATGCAACTCCTAGCACAGCCATGGGGAGCTTCGAACAAAGCTACCCGCGATCTATATGGATGTGAAAATCAAATGCAAGGCTTGGTGGACCGTTTGCTGATGCGGATCACAATTCAGGGCTGCTGTCGTCTTTGCCGTCCAGAGCTGGCTCGGCGAGAGCGAAGACACCAAGAAGAGCACCAGCACACCCGGATACTTCTCCGTGGGCATGTCGTGTACGTTTACCGGGACAAGCAACCCATCTTTGCGAGTCCGCTAACATATACCTAGTGATGTCTCTCGCCGTCACCTACCTCCCGCTCTTCCTGCCTCCGCCACCGGGCATGCAACAAGGCAGCGCCACCGACGCCGCTCCTCCCGTCCCTGCCTAAAGTGTCAGCTTCTCTGATAACAGAGGGTCCTTTCGTAACGCTGAAGACAAACGAACAATCTCGTCTTCTGGAACGATAGTCTTCCCAACACCAAAATCTTTAAACTTGGGCGAACTATCTCCACGAGCGATGCCACTGGAGAGCCTCATACGCCGTTGAGAGACCCGGAACATACGAAAATTTTCTGTACACCATATGTAATACCCGATTAATTCCGAAGATGGTAATGATATTATTAACGACAAGAAAAGGGAGGATGAGGCTCAGGTAAAGGGTGTCCATTTTATTCACAAAGACTGGATCCCGGGGGTCAGAGGATTAGAGGAGTACTCGGCTAAGTGCTCCAGTCTGATATTCGTCGCTTCCTAGCTTTGATGAGTCGTACGACAGGCATGGGCCAAGGCTGTTACGATCTTTCGATGATAATGAGCTAAACGCTGCATTAAGTTCGTTCTTGGGTACGTTAAATGGGTTGAAGAAAGGATGAAGACGGCGTTTTTGCTGCTGGCTCAGGACACGGCCCAAAGGATTACGTCCTGGTTAGCCCCCTTTCTAGAAGATTTGGTCAGTACAAGTCAGTTGTACATCACTATCACTTACTCTACGTGTTCATGACTGTGGTGCATGGGCCACTCGTTTGTCCTAGGAATGATTGCTTAATGGTGAGCTGATACAACAGAGTAAGGTTAGGTTGAGAGCCCATAAGGTCGTCTTCCCGTTAACAGAGATACAAGCGGATACCAAACATCACCTTTCCCTTTACCCTTTCCATTTCGTTCGTCGGCATGAGTTACCTTTCTCCCAAGTCTTAGGGATAGCGTTCCCTGTCATGGTGAAACGCCGAGGTGGTCAGGGGGCTGCTAAGCGCCCGTCCCTCACGGGGTTTCAGATGCGACGCCTCGTGTGGTCAAGGTAACATCCTCCCACGGCCTTCCACTACCAATTTCAGTCAGGAGATGCTTCGAGGCCCAAGCGACACAGCCTGGTTCATACAAGTCATTTTATGTTTTGCTTCATATCAGATCTTATTTTCTCTCGTCGCCCTTTGTTCCGTTTTTAGCGACCCATCCTTTCTGTTTCCTTTTCGCGCTCGTTCGTCCTCAAAGTTAGGTCACCGCGGAACGGTTGTTAATACGTACCACGGGTACTTGTTAATCACAACAACTTCACTCAGTTCTATTACCGTTTAATAATATCATCAGCTGGTCTGAACTTCAAGCTTGATAAGAACTTCAATCGTTCGGACGAAATACGTTACCGATCAGAACATTCACTATTACCTCATCTCAACAAGACACCGCAACTCGACTCGTCCCGAGAAACAAAACTATCCTCCTACGACACAAGCCAACATACAAGTCAACATGAAGCCAGCCACCCTCGCCGCCGCCCTTCTCTCGCTTTGCGCCTCCCTCGTCAGCGCCGGTGTAGTCATCACACCCATCAAGCCTGAGCAAGTTGTACCCAAGAATGCAGGTGACTGCTTCTTTGGCGTGACCACTCCTCTAGGTTGCGGGTATGTTCTATCTCTTATCTCACGCTTTGACACATGAGGCGGTTACGCCTCCCACATGCATGATCACTAACAGTAATCATATTTAGACCCCTTCGTAACACGAAGAAGGTGTAATGAAGGAGCTACGACTACGAGTTTGAGTTTTCTTTCACGGATGGGGAGTTTGATGGCTGGATGCAGGCCTATGGGCGGAAAATGGGCTGTCCTCTCGAGGCGGATGTGGATGATAATAAGGAGGACGTTGATCGGCGACAGGATAGATGGGTGATGGGCCTTGTCTGCATGCAGTCATAGGATCTCTGGGGTTTTAACCACCGGCTATGGACATGAAGTGATGATCTATCAGGGATCGATGTTATCTCGGCGGAGAACCTCGGCTTGGTCATGTCAATGGACATGAGATACAGACCGAGGGTACGGAGAAGATACCCATATCTTGGATGAACCGTGGTTGCGGCCGGAGGAGGATGAAACCACCACCAATTCTACGGCGACTGTGCCATTCAAAACCATCCTGTCTGTCCTGTCCTGTCCGTACTCGAGGAGTAATGCGATGTAAATGGATACCCATTCGGATCATCCTACAGTAAAGGCACTCTGTTCGGTCTCGATTTCAGCCGTTACGACCTTTTACAAGCTTGTGATTAATAATGATGATCGCACGAAGCCATTATGATAGTATGATCGAGATAACTTGACGGACAACAACATCGCTGCGCATAAAGATCGCAAAGATGCGAGCTTCCAAGTCGAAGAGTTATTCACAACTCCTGGTATCGCGGAGTTGAGCTGGCAAAGCAGTCAGAGACATTTGCAATTTTATAGCATGGTTGGAAAAATGTGCCGATCGTTCGACCCGCCCTCACATGTGGTGATTCTAAGGCAGGAGATACAGAAGGGCTGTTTGTGGCATCAATCTGCCACTCAACTTCGGAGAAACCTAATGAAAGGTCCCCCAAGACTCCCGCGATACTGTTGGGCTGCAGAGCAGCAGCAGCAACCGCGTCTCTTCGTTGAGTGGTTGATGAGAGAAAAAGGAAATTTCGGGGTGGATGGACGTCGAGTTTTGACCACTTCGAAGCTTCGCCAGTGGCCCGTGCGCCTGCACGTTTGTCAGGCGGGGGACGAACAACAAACCCACAAAAACGAAAGCTTTGGCGGGGCCGATTCAAAAAACCACACCGGTCCGAGGAACTGCCGGCTCCGCAAGCACCAAACTTTAACTTCATTTCAAAATTGCCGCTGCAACCCTCGTTCTTTTTCCCAAGTTTACTACTTCTCAACAGACTGGCAGTTCCGCGAACCACAGAGTCCCTAGTCATGGCGATGGGATCTATCGGCGATACCCTTTGGGATGTCGTCATCTGCGGCACCGGACTGCAGCAGTCTCTGCTTGCACTGTAAGCAAACTTTTCTTTCGCTCTTCTTCATCCGGCTTTCATCGTTCTCCTGTCTAACTGACCGACTGACATAGCTGTTCTCCGCCTTGAAGATCCCTCTCGCGATCGGGCAAGAACATTTTGCACATAGACCCCAACGACTACTATGGCGGGGCGGAAGCGGCTTTCAGCCTGCAAGAAGCTGAGTCCTGGGTTGACCATCTGGCCACCGAGGACAAAGGCCTCTTCAGGTCCGCGTCCATCACCAAGCCGGATGTCGTGGGTCTTTCCTTCCCCAGAGCGTACTCGCTGGCACTGGCACCGCAGTTGATCCACGCCCGCTCGGAGCTGCTATCTCAATTGGTTTCTTCCCGGGCGTACCGGCAGGTGGAATTCCTCGCCGTCGGATCGTTCTACATCTTCAAAGCACCCATCGACCCCGAACAGCAACCCAGCCTTGTCCGCATCCCTTCTACCCGCGAAGATGTCTTTTCAACCACTGCTATATCGGCCAAGGCGAAGCGCGGGCTGATGAAGTTTCTACGGTTTGTGCTGGACTACGACAGTCCGGAGCAGAGAGATGCCTGGAAGCCTTTTGCCGATAAACCCTTGGTGGACTTCTTACAGGAGCACTTCAAGATGGATACCGAGCTCAAGACCTACATCATCACCCTCACGCTCTCGCTGGATGGTCGGATCAATACCAAGGATGGGTTGTTCATCGTCCATCGCCATCTCACCTCTATCGGTCACTTTGGCCCCGGCTTTGCTGCTCTCTATCCCAAATGGGGCGGTATCTCCGAGATTGCCCAGGTCGCCTGTAGAGCCGGTGCGGTCGGTGGTGCTGTTTACATGCTTGGCGCTGGTATCAAGTCAATGGATACTGCTACTGACGAGATCGAGCTCGAGCTGACCAGCGGCGACAAGGTGAAAACCAAGTTGCTCGTGCGTGGAGAAGAAAGCGTTGGTGACGAGCCGAGCATCAGCAGGCTAGTGGCCGTTGTTGATTCTCCGCTCAAGACCTTGTTTGAGTCTACCGTCGACGGGGCGCCGACTCCCTGCGTTGCGGTCGTCGCTCTGCCTCCGGGCTCACTAACAACACCTGGCGAAGCAGACACTGACCCAGTCTATGTTTTCGCTCACTCGAGCGGCACTGGCGAATGTCCCAATGGTCAGAGTAAGTTTTATTTATTTCTTTACTCCCTTCATTTTACACATTTCGAGTACTATGATGATCCACATTTTGAATACTTATCTACATTGTCCAAGCCTCGGCGTTGACGATAAATACCTCTGACATTCTGATCGTACTCTCATCCGTTCACCCTTTTTGCATCATTCATAACTTGCTACGCACAAATGGCTGACTGGAAACCAACAGGTGTCCTATACTTGTCCACAATGGCGACTCCCAACTCCAAGGAGATCTTGAGTCGCTCTCTTGAATCCTTGCTTTTGGCTGTGGACTGTGATCGAGTCCCCCAGTGCTTGTATCAGTTATACTATGAGCAGGCTGCTGGTGTGAAGCAAAGTCGACTTGATGGGTTGATTCTTGATCTGCCAGGCCCATCTCTTTCCCTCTTGATGGACGACGCATCGCTGAATCATGTCCGTGAGGCGTGGAAGAAGGTCGTTGGCGATGCAGTTGATGATGCAGAGTACATGGTCTTCACAGATCGTGAACCCGTGGATGATGATGATGATTATGAATGATTCTTGGTGACGACCATGGTAAGGGCTGGTCTCTTTACTATCTTATGCACCGCCCTCCCCACATTCCGTAACATATTTGAAAAAGATTAATCTCAATTTACTTCTATCATTCAATTGCCAATCCATCTCACTGCTACCTATCTTGTAACTGATTTGTTGTGAAATTGCTCAGTTGCAAAATTACAAGCTTGCCTTCTGTCAACGTGAGCCCCAGCGTGTCCGTTGTCCCCTTCCCATACTTCTCCGAAGATCAGCTCCCTATATCCTCCGCAGAAACTGTGATCCTGTCTTCCGCATGCGCCAGATGGTTCTTGCCAGAGGCATAATTGCTTAGGAAACCATTTAAGACGTTCTCCCATCTGCCCTTCTCTCAATCAAGATCTCACAGCGCAGGGAAGCACTGCATCCCGTTTCCCATCTACCCACCCGACAAGCCGAACCGAGAAATAAAAAGAAATAAAAGAACCGCAAGACTGGCACCGATTGCGCCGATAAGTGTGCATTCTTCGCAAATCTCCGCATCAGTCACTTCACTCGTCACCATCCTCCTCCATCAGAGCCAGCATCTCAGCCTCCGACACCTCAACGCCCACGCGAATTTCGCCAAACGGCTGGAAGCCCTCCATGTCCTGCTCCACCTTGATCGCGTCTTTGGTCGCGAGGACCAAAACGTTGTAGAAAGCCTGAGTCGCCACCTGTCGGGTTCTGTCTCTAGGTTCATCCAACAGCTCGTCAAAGGCAACCCACTGTCTGAGAAGTCTGTCGTTTCCGTCTCCGTGGGCATGGGAAGAAGAGGGTGGAGCACCGCCGCCGCCGAGGGACCGCGTCTCCCCTCTGGCTTTGGCTACCATATTGACGTAAGCCAGGAAGTTATGGCCGTCGCGGTCTAGAGCGTCGCGCATTACTTGAGAGGTTTCGGCCGCAGCCTGGGTAGCAGTCGTTTCAGCTTCGCCGGAAGGAGTACGGCGCAAGAGGTCACGGCCACCCTGAGGACCGCCAGGCAAATGCGGAAGCTGCGGTTCATCCTCTCCAGGCGGCATCATGGGGTCGGATGAGAAACCAGGGGCGCCGCCAGAGTGCAAGAAGGGCGCGTAGGAACCTGCGTCGCTGAAGCGATCGATAGGGGGGAGTTGGGCCAAGTGGATGCCGCGGCTGTGGAGGGGACTGGCGCTCACTTGGCGGCTGGATCCGGGGTGGTGATTGTCGCCTTTCGCCGATGAGCCTGGGACGAGGGAAGAGGGTCGGTTCCAGGGAGCGTCGGAGGGAATGTCGGGCAGTGCTGAGCCATCTCTTCTTCCAATCTCGGCGTCTTCTTCCACTCCTCCAGTAGGCAAGCCGCCACGGCCTGCCTCAGTCTGCGGCTCGGCGTTTTGCTGCGCTTGCGCTTGATGCTCTTCTCCGTTCTCATCATTAAGGCGACGACGTACACGTCTCTCGGCATCTTCCTCCTCTAACTCGAGGGCTTCGAGAGCGGTGCGTCGACGGCTTCGTCTTCCCTCGGCTTCAACCTCCTCATCGATGTCGATGCCCAAGGCCTCGCTAGCAAAATTGGCGCCGGAAAACAGAGCTGCCAGTGGATGGCTGCGATGGTTTCCGGAGTTAAGACCGCTTTCAAGGGCGCCTACACGGCCAACTCCACGACCAAATATGAGCTCATATGCGTGTTTCTTGGCAGTAGTTGGGTTCATGGCTGCAGCGCGTACGGAAGCGTTGTTCGCCCGCTCGACATTGGCAAGATAATCGGTGCTCCACGACTTCAATTCGTGGCGACTGATTTTGGTATCATGGTCAGGTACCAGCACAGTACGGCGGCGCTGACGACGTTGCACAGGTGTGGCGACTGCCTCAACCACAGGCTCCTCCGCAATGGCTTGCGCTTCTTCGACTTCTTCCATCAATTGGTCTTCCTGAGCTTGCTCGACTTGGTCGGGGACAAGGCCAGGAACTTCATCGGCATCGGGCGGAGGGGCCGTGCCTCCGCTCATGAGCAAGTCACCTTGGTCGTCAAAGGATAATTCCGACCCATTATGACCTTGGCCAAAGGGTGTGGCACGAGTTCGCTCTTCCTCGGGGCGGGGAAGAACAGGCAGCTCAGGCTCGTCGACAGTTGCCATCACGTTACCGTCAGCGTCGATCTCGATTCCCCAATCGCCAAAGATCTCGGCGTTGGCCTCGGGCTCGCCAAACTCCATCATATCGTCGTCAGGCTTGTGTTGAGAAAGAGGCCCCAGGGAGTAGGAAGAATGCTGAGAATACAGCGGATCGGCAGGAGAAGACTGAGGAAGATCAAGGCCAAGAAGAAAGGAGCCGCTTCCGTCCGGTGTGAGATTGAATCTGTCCAGTGGGGAGAACTGGGACGAAGTCTTGCATGAGGCCTGACTCTGGAATAGGGAAGCCAGGTTTCCATCCTCGTCTAAGCGGAAGGCTGGGAGCCCCATGTTGATCTCGAAGTTTGGATCATCCGGGAGGATGAGTTGGTTGCGCCTGCGAATGTGAGGTTAGCTTGACACATTTATCTGGTCACGGGCAAAATGGGGGTACACATACTTTGCTTCTCCGGCTTGCGGATCAAGGGCATTCTCGGTACCTCCCAAGACATTGTAGAAGCATCTCATGTGCATATGGATCTTCTCGGCGTCGGTGAGCACATAGGAGCACTGCTGGGAGAAGACCCTAGAAACGCCATATAGCAGACTTCCCTGCAGTCGCAAAGCAATGGGTGCGCCCGGCTGGAGGATGGTCTCGCAGGCTTTCCTGACATTGACTTCTTGGATTGCCTTGCGCGAGATCTTCCTGTTGCTTGATCTGAGACCAAAGGTCGAAACCAACCTGGAGCGAGAGTAGAGCTGCGTTAGCTGAGTTGTCTCACCTAGAAGTCACAGAAAGGTTTACTGAGGTTCGTCCAGGTTCACTTACCACACGGTGGCAACACCATACTGCTGGTTAGTCAAGACTGGTGAAGGAGTCAGTACTGCTTCGTCCTCGTCTCGTAGCCGAATGAGAAGTGAATCTACTGACTTTCGTGACTGTAGAACATGGTAGCGAGGAACGGTTGTGTGAGACTGAGAGGTTGTTATTCTCAAGTGTTACTTGATGAAGGAGGCCAGGGCCTCGAAGGATACGATGCGTGAAGGTTGATGATAAGGTTTGAATAGAGATATGAAGGAAGAACAGAGTATGGAGGAGAACCTTGGTAAGGAAAAAAAAAATGGAGAGTGAACGCGGGTGAAGAGGGGTAGTGGGTTAAAAGATGCTCGGGGTCGGGTATGAGAGCTTGACGCGTTCTACGTGGACATGATCGAAATGGGATGAAAAGACACGCAAACAACGACTCGACCAGAATACAATGGGTGGCATGGACGAAACCAATTTGACGGACTGAACTTTACGGTGGGCTGTTCGAATTGGAGAGCAGGAATTGAAGAGCAGGATTGGTATCATCGAAGTGGTCGAGTTCCTGTTTCCCCCCACAGTTCACGATACCCGGGGGGGAACTTGTATTCAGAAAAGGAAGGAGCGGCTCGTAAAACAAATTACGCGGACCTTCCATCTTCAAGTCAAATACTCTCAACCCAGCATGGCCTGAGCTTTGGACCAGACATCGTCCATTCACTACCAAACAATTCCATTACTTCGCCCTTGGTTGTCGGCCAATCTATCACATCCCCCGTTTGTTACTTTCCTGAAAGCTACGAGACACTCGCCCACGCAACAACTTTTCTTCCCAGAACATCTTGTCTGATGAGGGCCGGGAGTTTGTTCGACAACAATTCCTATACCTGACTTTTCTCCAGAAGGCTTTCTGTCACTGTAGCAAACGAGCCGTTCTCCGCTCAACAGTGACAAGTCCTGCGTGAAATCGTCGTACCCGGGACTATTCTCGCCGATAAAGAGCTATTTCAACTCCTCTTGATAACCTCACGATGAGCGACCATCAACCCCGCCACGGCCGCCGCGACTCTCCGGTCGACGATCGCGAAGAATATGTTCCGTACGTTAGCTGTGCGTCGACTTCTGCCGCGTCAAAGCTGCAAGCGCAGTATATCCCAACTCAGTTTCCACCGGGACCTCAGCCTCCACTGGGAGCCGTGAGATATGTCCCTCCCATGCCGAACCAGTTTCCTGCGCACAGCGCTTCTGGCTACATCGAGGGCTTGTATTCGACATTTCCAACGCATTACACCAGCTTTCCTCTTGCGGCAAATGCTCCCCAGCCTTATGATCAATTCGACAGTACGAGTTACAGACCTCCTACTCCCAAGATCGACCAGTTCACCACTGCCGCGACTTTGTTTTCACGGGTTTCCACCCCAGACTACGAGCGAGAATTCGACAACGAGCCTATCGATACTGTGCCAAGAAGTGTGAACGGTTCTCCGATCCCTCCGCCCGCAAAGGGCTCGGGCACATTTCATACCACTCCTGAGGTTCCCAGACCTCCGCCTCCTAGCCCGGAAAACTTTCATATCCCTTTGAAGTCACTCAAATTGAACGACCTACGCTCGTCGGCTTCGATTGGCTATCCTGCTCCCGGAGATAAGAGTGCCGCGTGCCAACTCTGCGACTGGCACGGCCACACTGCAAAGATCTGTCCGCTGGGCTCCGACAAGAAAGACAACAAGCAGCCTAGCAATGATGCTGTCTTCACAAACAAGGAACAGAACGAGTATCAGGATCTTGCGCGCAAGGTCAGCCATATTATCCAGAACGTTGTCCCGGATGGCAATCAACCACCTGCAACCAACGAGACGATGATCCAACATATCTTGAAATGCTTGGCCAGTCATCCAGGAAACCCCGAATATGTCCACAAGCAGCTGGGCAAGGAGGAACACCAAGGCCAGTGGCTCTGCATCAAGGCCATGTGCGACAATAAGTGGGAGGGTCCAGTGTCCATGGCAACCAGAGAAATCGACTGCAAGTACTGCAAGAAGAACCTCGCTGGTGATCCGGTCACCCTTTGCTACCAGATCAAGCCCAGAGACGGCCGAGTCGCACTGTATCGGGAGGTGGGTACCTTGAGAGTTTGAGAGTTTCGGGCCAGCATACGGGCAAGAATCTGGCTTACATAGGTGTGAGAGCTTGGAGTTTCGCTCAGAATATTGGGGTACTGGCAGCTGG